GAGAGAAGAAAGGGTTAAAGGAGGAAGGGATGGAGGGAATTCTGCTCCTAAAAGGGAAGGGAATCCTGCCTGGATTGCAGGGAGGAGGGGGGAAAATATGTGACTGGGGTGGGGAGAGAAATTCCACCCCCCAGCCCAAGACTTGGCTGTTTGGATCCCTCCAAATCCACTTATTTCCCCCTTAATTCCCTCCCTTTATCCCTTTAAAACCAGTCGACAAGCCCAGATGATCCTCTCCTGGGAATTCCTCTGCCAGGGGTAATTGGCCCCTGTAAATCCAGGGACAATCTGGTCAGGGGCAGAGCCAGAGCCCCCTCAGCAGCCAGGGGAAAAACCAACCAGGAATAAACAAGAACATTCATGAAATGGCAATTTTCCCTGCTTTTTTTGCCCTGGAAAACAGATCCTGGCTGGAGAGGCTGGAGAGGCTGTTGCTCCCCTGCTCCTGCTCTGCTGGATCCCCATCCTCCTCCCACTTCCCAGAGGAGGAAGCTCAGGGCAGAAGGAGAAGGGGCTGAATCCTCATTTTCCCCCCATTTTATGGAAGAGGAACCTCAGGGAATGAGGACAAGGAGCTGAATCCCCATTTTCCAGAGAAGGAACCTCAGGGCAGAAGGAGGAGGAGCTGAATCCCCATTTTCCCCCCATTCCCTGGAAGAGGAACCTCAGGGAACACAGAGGACCTGAATCCCCATTTTCCAGAGAAGGAATCTCAGGGAAGAAGGGGCTGAATCCCCATTTTCCCCCATTTCCCCTCCATTTTCCAGAGGAAGAACCTCAGGGAAGAAGGAGGAGGAGCTGAATCCCCATTTTCCCCCCATCCCCCCCCCCCATTTTATGGAAGAGGAACCTCAGGGAATGAGGACAAGGAGCTGAATCCCCATTTTCCAGAGAAGGAACCTCAGGGCAGAAGAAGAAGGGGCTGAATCCCCATTTTCCAGAGAAGGAACCTCAGGGCAGAAGGAGGAGGAGCTGAATCTCCATTTTCCCCCCATTCCCCCCCCCATTTTATGGAAGAGGAACCTCAGGGAAGAAGGAGGAGGGGCTGAATCCCGGCAGAGCTCCTGGGGGTGGCACCGGAGGCGGGAAGGAGCCCGGAGGGGGGAGACCTGGGAAGAGAGAGAGAAAAGAGGGAATTGGGTGAAATATCCCAGGAAAAGGGCAACAAATCATCATAGCTGAGGTGATTGGGATAAGGGGGAAACTGGGATTGAGGGGACTGGGGGAATTGGGAGGTTTTTTGGGGAAGGGGAAGGAGGGAATGAAAGGGAATAAGGGAGATGGAGGTGGGATCTGGGGAGGGGATTGTGGAGTGTGAGGGTGGGGAGAGCCTGGGCCAGGTTGGCCAGGGAAGCTGTGGCTGCCCCATCCCTGGGGGTGTTGAAGGGCAGGTTGGATGGGGCTTGGAGCAGCCTGGGCTGCTGGGAGGTGTCCCTGCCCATGGCTGGATCTGGATGATCTTTAGCTCATGGAATGGTTTGGGTTGGAAGGGACTTTAAAAGATCACCCAGATGATCCATTCAATGATCTTCAAGGTGGCTGCTCCATCTCTGGAAGTGCCCAAGGATCTCATGTGGGGTTTGGAACAACTTGGGTGGGAGGTGTCCCTGCCCATGCAGGGGGTGGGATCTAGATGAGCTTGAAGGTCCCTCCAACCCATCCCATGGTTTTCCATGCAGGGAGTGGGACTGGATGGGCATGAGGTCATGGAATGGTTTGGGTTGGAAGGGACTTTAAAAAGACCACCCAGATGATCCATTCAATGATCCTCAAGGTGGCTGCTCCATCCATGGGAGGATTCAAGGATCCCCAGTGGGACTTGGAGCAACCTGGGCTGCTGGGAGGTGTCCCTGCCCATGCAGGGGGGTGGATCTGGATGATCTTTAGATCATGGAATGGTTTAGGTGGGAAGGGACCTTCAAGACCACCCAGATGATCCATTCAATGATCCTCAAGGTGACTGCTCCATCCATGGGAGGATTCAAGGATCCCCAGTGGGACTTGGAGCAGCCTGGGCTGGTGGGAGGTGGCCCTGCCCATGCAGGGGGTGGGTCTAGATGATCTTTAGCTCATGGAATGGTTTGGGTTGGAAGGGACCTTCAAGACCACCCAGATGATCCACTAGATGATCTTCAAGGTGGCTGCTCCATCCCTGGGAGGATTCAAGGATCCCCAGTGGGGCTTGGAGCAGCCTGGGCTGGTGGGAGGTGCCCCTGCCCACGCAGGGGGTGGCACTGACCGGTGTCAAATCCCCCTCCAACCCCCCCTACACCCCCAAATCCACCCACCGGGCGGGGTGACCCCGGGTCCCAAGGCGGTGACGACGGGGGTGGGGACGGAAGGAGGTGGAGGAGCATCTGCAAAGAGCTGGTGGGGCCGGTCAGCCTGGGACAGGGGGTTCTGAGCTGCCAGGAGCCTCTCGGCCGCCGAGCCGTGTCGTTCCCCCTTGGAGTCCTTCTTGAAGGCGTAGGACACGGTGATGGGGCGGTTGCACAGGTACTGCCCGTTCATGGCCTCGATGGCCGCGTCCGACGCGTCGAAGCTGGCGAAGTTGATGAAGGCGTAACCCTTGGAGTTCCCCGTGTCCGGGTCCCTCATGATCTTGGGGGTCTGCAGGATCACCCCGAAGGCGCTGAACGTGTCGTAGAGCAGCTTCTCGTCGATCTCCGGGTCCAGGTTGCCGATGAAGATGTTGGCCCCCACGTCCAGGTTCTTGTTGTGGGCCGAGGCTTTGTTGACCCGGATGGGTTTCCCGTAGAGTTTGATCATGTTCATGATCTTGATGGCGTAGTCAGCGTCCTCCTCGCTCAGGAACTCCACGAAGCCATAGCCTGCAACACCGGGGGGGCTGGGAGGGCAGACCCGGGGCTTGTCCCACCTCAAACCCCACCAGGAGGGCTTGGAGCCCAAAGCCAGGGCTTGTCCCACCTCAAACTCCATCAATCCACAGCCTGTGACCACCAGCAGATGTTGGAGGTCAAACCCAGGGCTTGTCCCACCTCAAACCCCATCAATCCACAGCCTGTGACCACCAAGACAGTTTGGAGCCCAAACCCAAGGCTTGTCCCACCTCAAACCCCATCAAGACATAACCTGAAACCTCCAGGAGAGCTTGGAGAGCAAACCCA